ATAATCACCACTTTGAAGAATACGGCTTTAACTTAAAGCACACTGCTCTGACCTTGGCATCTTATTGTAATGCCTGGCAGCTGAGTAAGTTATCACAGAAGTCTTCAGTACTATGGGTTAACATCCTTAAGCAGACTGTTGACCATTTTAAGTTTGCAAATTGTTAAAGTATTTATCTTTTAAGTGTCTGTCATGATAAAGTAAATTTAAGCCTATTGGCAATCTTCCACATACTCCTGGAGGTGCACGCACCCCAGATGAAAGCCATTTCTGTATCTTAAAAGGTCTTTGTTCTGCATCCCACCCACAGGGCAGGGGGCATAATGTGTCATGTCAAGTTATTCTGCTGTTACAACTCCTCTAACAACAAGAGGCATCCACAGGTGGATCTCTGTGTAACAGGAACCATTATACAAGGCAACTTCTTGTTTTGCTCCTTACCTTCCTGATCATGTCCACAAAGCTCCTAAGTTATCTTTAAGAACAGCTTTGCTATATGTAGCAGCCAGGTGAGCTGATTTTACCCAGATTTTTGGGGGTAAGGCTGCTTATGCCAGATGCCACCTGGCAGTCGCCTGTTTGATGAGACAAGATCTACTGTGACCTGTTCTTTAGTAGCTGCATGGGAGCTGATATGAGGAAAACTGCAGAGGAGTTCAGCTGACCAGCATGCAGTAATGTGAAACCTTCAAGGAAACGTGAGTGAATATGTTTAAGTCTTACCTGTATGTGTTGCAGAAAGCAAGCCTGTATGGCTTTAGAAATGCCTATGTCTTGTGTTTTGCATGTTTTGGGATACAGACTCTTCTATCTGTGAACTGTAAAGTTTAGTTAGAGCTGTTAGTCTCAGCTGGGCTCAGAAAAGGAGGGTCATCTTCCTCTCCATAGGCGAAATTTACAACTGGACGCCGATGTGTGCTGCTTTTCTAGTTTGGTAGGAGCCTATTGGCAACAGGGTGCGCTTGCCAGCCAAGGGGCAGCCAGCAGATGGGGGAACACGAGCTTATTTTATAGAGCTTTCTCTATTAAAAAAAAAGGCCATAAACATTCTTGGGTTTTCTTCCAATCTGTCTTTCATTTACTCAGATGCCGATAATATATGAAAGTTCAGAGGTACTGATTTTCTTCATTGTAGCACCTTATGGCTCCTGAATCGTAGGTTTGAGCTGAGGGTTGTGTTTTAAGGCTTGTGATGGTTTGTGTTACATGAGTTTTGGGCAAGCAACCAGAAAGTTCATTATGTGATGGATTAAACCTACTGAAAACTTCACATCAAAACTGTTGTAAAGAGAAAAGCACCTTAGGGGTTCTTCTACAGAGATGCTAGAGCTTCTGTTATAGTGGATGTCAGGTATCATGCCATCAATCAGGATGGCAGAGGCCTGTATGGTACATGGGATGTGGTATGTGCGAGGCTGTGGAAGAGACAGGGAGATGATACTGGTGCATAAGCATTGCAGTAGGTCAGAGGAGGTGCCCGTGGCTCTACGGGTGAGTTACAGGTGGGGAGCTCGCCAATTCCCACCAATTTGGGTTGTATGTGTGTTGAGCTCCAGTGCTGTTAGTTTCCAAGCTTCTGGCATCCCTGAGAGTGACTTAACCATAATCTCTTACCTATTCCAGTTCTTGGTAATTCAATAACAGAGAAGTACACTGTAGCTAGAAGACTTCTTTTTATCAGCAATGAAATATTAACTGTAAAAATTATTGATGCTGTTGTGTCTATTTTTGTATGAAAAAATGCACTAGTGGGAGAGGGGTGATCCATGACTGGTGCTGCCCAGTTTAAGTACAAGCCGAGGTATAACATTACACCAAGAAAGGAAGTGAAACAGTTGTGTCTATTGCTGAGCCTTGCCCTCTGCTTGGAAGAAAACTTCTATGCTGTTTCTTTTTCTCTCCACTAGAAGACAGTCTTGAGTCAAATGTTTTGTAATTCAAGCAGTAATTGTGACTTTTAATGCTCATTTAAAATGCTGATTTATTTCATAGTGAAAATATAAAAACTAGCCCAACAGCAAATAATTATCACAAAACTGTGGTAAGGAACATGTCATTGAAATACGGCTAATAATGGAAATGTGTGACATGCTGTTAGCAGCAGCATCATGTGTTTCAGTGCTGGGATTACGAGGAGGGAAGTACAGGATGTTGGTCTTAACTCCAGTGCAAGATACTCCCAATATAGGGTGGCAGGTTTGGTTGAGTTTGGTTTGTCTGTCAAACTTGGAGTTACCCACTGCACAATTTCCTGTTACAAGAGATGTCAGATTTCAAGTGGAATTGTATGTAAGTGTGTGTTTCTATAGTATCAGAACAGTCTTCAGAGTTAAAGAAACACCATTTTCATGGAGATTTCAGATTTAAATCTTGTCCCTTTCTTCTGGTGTTTGACTTAAGGAAGATACCTTAGATGATGACTAAAACTAGAAAATGCATGTGAGGCAGCCAGCCTTTTTTTCCAGCTGTTGTTGCATTTTCCAGTTCAGTTTCCATGCACACAGATGTTGTGCTGCCTACCACTTCCAACAGTTTGTGCAGCAGGTTTATTTCCTAACAATGCCTTTCCTAGGCACAAACAGCAGCCCAGGAGCCGTAACACACTCTAAACAAGTTCTCAGAGCAGAAAACACCCACAAAAAAAGATGGGATAAGCTTCCTGTCTTACTGCAGTGCAAGTGATAAGCTGAGCGCATGGCTAACTGGAAACTGTTATAGTTTCTAGCAGGCCAGAACACATTCATATTGACAATATTTTGGAGTAACTTGTTCTTTATTTGCTACCATTGTAAACATCTTTCTATTACACAGACATCACAGTTTACATTATTGCTTTTATACTGCGGTAAACAGAAATTTCTATTAGTACGCAGCTATCTAAGCACAGTGTGAGAATAGGAAACTGTCCACAACCTGTCTTGGGCTGGCTTTTGTTTATACTCCCCTAGACAAAGACAGTTACCTAGACTGGCACAAGAAACATCAGCCCAAAGAGTGATCACCAGTGTACTACAGCAACACAAACCAAGGATGACAGAAAGGAACAACACGTTACATCTACCACAAACTCACTAGCCGTATTTCCAAGAATACTGACTGCTGAACTCCCACCTAACTAAACACAAACTTTTCCATCACGATAACTCTTAAAACCAAGGCTAACCGATACGGTTTTGTAAAATGTCTCTTACTTAAGCCAGGATGGAAAATCTGGAAATGCTTGGCGCTTTGTGTATGTGTTTAATGTTTTGTTTTGTTTTTCAAAGAACAAAAATCCAAAACTGTTTAGCTGAGGTGCTTAAATTGGCCCCATTTCTACAGTCCTTTAGGACATAGTGCCCTAGAAGCACAACTTCAAAAACTTCCTCAGTTCCTTCCTTCCTAAATAGCACTGCTTTCCAAACAAGTCTCTTACTTATGAAGTGATGTTTACTTACTAAAAGACTAGATTTTACTTTGCTTGTGGTAAACTTCTACTTCACATTAATTTGTTCACGGAATGGCACCACGTTTCAAGCATACACTAAAGAATGTAAGTGGAGGTAGTTTGTGAAACAGTTGCTCCTGTAGTAACAACAAAATACTTTGAGAACCACCTCACTGCCTTCAGTTTTGTTGGGTTTTCTTATTAAAATTACTATTGCATATAAGCTTTCACATTGTGAATGCTTTCAAGAGGCAGCAAGTTAGAAAACTAATAGTACCTGCAAATTCTAATAAGGTAATACATACTTTAAAACATGACAGTTAATAAATAACAAAAGATTTTAGCGAGGTTTTAAGACTCTTAGACTAAAACCACAAGCAACAAATTCTGCTGTTAGACAAATTCATTATATAGACAAATTGATTATATCAACTTGCAGAAAGGTGGCCTACCTCCAGTACCATAACCTTAGGACTGTCGCCCTACAACAGTTAGTATAAAATGCTGACTAGTAAAACACTGTTATTCCCTAAACACAATTTTACTTTTTTCCCATGTATTTTCTAGCTACCACCATAATACAATTATCCTATGACTGGTGCAAACAAGGACACCCAGTACAGATAGTGACTCCTAGACACGAGGCCTGGGCTACTTGAGCATACAAAACTACATGCACATTCTACCTGTTCACTGGGAAGGTGTATTGGAGCCCAACAGAATGTTCACCTTAATTAATTACTACATGCAAACTAATGCATTCCCATATATCTCATTCATCTGATGAGGGTTGGGTTTACTTTTTTTCCTTGTGTACTGCCACAGTAGATGCATCGCATCAGGCTCAGCCTCCATTCTACACTAAGAAGTCCGAGGTGTGTGACAGGAAATGCGAAGCTTGATGGTTGGGCTTTAAAAGCCTCAGCAGTAGTTAAATGTCAGTCTCCCAGTGAACCAGGAGCCGAGTGAAAGCTCCAAGGCTGGAAAGAGGAGGATGTAAGTTAATTTGCAGCTGTTGCAATAACTAAAAATCAAAAGCTTGCAGACTCTGGCACAGGGGAGTGCTTTAGAGGATGGCTCAAGCAATTTTGGTACTTTCTAGCAAGCAGTAAATAAAAACCAAGAATGGGCTCTCTTTTCCTCCTGCTGCTAAACATATTGGGGTCGCTTTTGAAATTCCAAAAGTTAGTCTTATGTTGTTTGCAAAGCAGATCTGCAAGCAATAGCAAAAATTATTAACGAAGACAAACATGACAGAAGCTGGGGCTAGAAAGTAACAGACAACTAACCTCTCAGCCACTGGGAAAGAGTCCACTTTCCACCTCCTTCCTCAGGTTTTAGGAATGGACAGTATCTACAAGGGTCAGGAAAAACAGCTCCACTGCAAGACCCGAATCCCAGAACACTCACCACAGGATCCAGCTTTGTTAGTGGTGATAATCACAGGACTCAGATACCTGGGAGTAGCAAAAGAACTTGGTTTCCTGCTGTCAGTTTTGTTATCTAATCAGTCAGTTTAGCTGCTCAGCTTCCAAGCCATGGCATAACCATTAACATTCTCCCTACAAGCATCTTCACATTATCTTTTATTTTTTTAGTAGAACAGCCTCAACCCAACACAGATGAGAGGAACGCTTCTCTACCCTGCACATGTTAAAATCGAGAATTGTTTAACTCTCATCTATATGGAAGGTATCCTAAAAAAGAAAACAGAACTGTGTTACCTTCTACATCTATACTGGCTACCCTAATCGGGAGCCTTCCCACAAGTAAGAGACAACCAACATTTAAGGAATCAAAAGCAACTGGGTAGATTCAGTGCAAGAAGTTATTAGTTACTTGACAGACTCACTGAATTACAGACGTGGGAAGGCAACTCTGGAGATCACCTAGTCCAACCCCCTGCCCAGAGCAGTCACCTAAATCAGGCTGCTCAGGGCCATGCCCAGTTGGGGTTTGATTATCTCCAAGCAGATGTAGTATTACATATTATAACAATACATTTAATACTTATGTAGTGTAACAATACTCATTACAAAAACGGGTTTGTCTTTTTCCTTGTGTTCAATATTTATATTCTTCAGGAATCTCTTCATGATTAGTCACTGACTAGAAGTTAACTAATTTACCTGAGATGATTAAAAAAAAACCAAACAAAGGCATGAAAGCTCATATTAGCATACAAATATTTTGTGCCACTGTGTGCTATTTAGGTATATACTCAGAGTCTTTCCCAAATAAATCAAGTTTCTAAGGCTACGATCTGGTTACAGAATCGAAATAAAACACTGATTGAATAAAGCAGAAGGCACTTATATTTAATAGTAGGTTTTTAAAAAATGAAGCAATGATCATACCAAATGTGTTTATAGTTGCTTTAAGCAATTATTAGTCACACTATAGATATGAAGTCCTATTGACTAGATTGTCTGAGGATGCCAAGATTAAGAAACATGCAACAGTTGCATCCCTTCCATGGAAAAGACAGCTTTGTTAGAGACTTGTACTTCATGTGAGTTTATTCTCACAAAATAGGGACTGCAGCTGCAACAAAGGTTTTTAATGAGTGAAATATATAAAAGGGCTAAACTAACTCTTGTACTTCCCACTGAGAAGACCCCATTAGCTGCTAAAGGAAGAGCTGACAACAGATGGGGAGTCAAGCAGCCTGAGCAGCTGAAGTCAAGTTAGAAAGAATTGAAATGTTTTACAGCAGGAATATTTTTAGAAGGAGTAGCTTTAGTAGGAGGATTTGATCCTCACACTGATGATTTGTGGCTCTTTTTGTTTGTTTCCAAACTAAGCTTTTTCCAAGCATAGGAATTTCCTGGTATAAAGCCATAGATAAGAAAACTTCCTTAGCCAGAAGTAATTTCTCCTAAGTATGTCAGTATGCTGACAGATTAAGGCTGTCTCCAAAATCATAAGTGACTAAAACATCCCCTTCATGGACATCTTCTTTACAGAGAAATTTAACATTGATGAGTGAACCATCAACTACATTTAGGAACTAGAAAACAAAGTCTAAAACCAGAGTAATTTAAACTAAAAGAAGTTTTTAAAAGACAATTTAACAGTCAAATTTGTTAATGGAAAACATGATGCAGCATAAATACCTGCTTCATGTCCCTGCACCAAGTATAATAGAAATTGTGAAAGCAAATGTTCCAGAGGCTCTTGAGATTAGAGGATTATTTCTTGTCTTGGCTTGTTGGTTGGTTTTTGTTCTGCATTTTGTTTTTTTTAAAAAAAGCTGTCCTTTGGAGAATAGCATATAAAGACCTGTAAACAGAGGCTGATTGTCCAAGCTTTCTGAACTCACTTTTGATTATTTTCTTAGATGTAAAGAAAAAAAAAAGACAGAAAAAGGGTTCTATTATTAAACAGTTTTTGGTGGAACATGCAAGACTTTTATCCAAATGCATAACTCCATTCTTGATGCAGAACCTCACAGACTGCAGAGGAGTTAAGGTTTCTTTGTATCTCCTAAGGTCAGTATCACGTTACAATCCAGGAGAAGTCCCTTAATTTTTTCATGGAATTTCTCTCTGTAGTGGTTGAAGTGCATAATGCTTTCTGGTTCTTCTTCAAACCAGAACTTGTCAAACTCATAAACCAGGTAACCTGTGAAGAAATAAAAATGCAGACCTGCAAAAAAGACCTCCACAATTTTCTGCCTTGATCTAGCTAGACCTAGAACAATCATTTAGACTCTAATCAATCCCGTAAAGCAGGGACTGTCCCATCATGGTCAACAGCAAGCATTTGGATGCTGTAATAATGAATAGAAAAGAAAATCTGCAAATACTGAGTTTTCAGACTGCAGTGGAAAGCCACCAAATGCATCCCTTTTCTGTAGCACAGTGTGTGAGCATCAGGTGCATTTTCAGCACCCTAAGCTCTACGTTGTAGGCCTTCCCCAGTAGTCCGTACTACAGAAGCTACAGATACTTACAGTAAAATTGATGGAAGTGTTCCATCTGCGGCAATCCAAAGACCATGTTGTACAGATGAGACTTTAAAGCACCATTCTTAAGTAAGCTGTATGCCATTTCTGTCAGGTTGATTCCAACTATTGCATAAGAATATCTGCAACACCAATCAGATGTCATGTGTTACCTTATGGATTGAAGGACTTAAAAGATTCCCTGAAACAGTCTGCATTAGGATAACTGTAGGTCAATTTTTCTTATGATACTTGCTGCTGGCAAGCTGACACTGGCATACAGAACACTCTTTCTGTTCCCTGGTGCATCCAACCATGTAAAAGTTCTCTAAAAACATTAGTTTCCTATACAATAGTATGACAAATGCTGCCATTAGGCAATAATGAGATGGTAAAACTAACCAGCATTGACCTCAGTTCGCTCACTGCAAAACACCAACTCTACTGGAATATTAAAAATAGACATCAAAAATGCTGTTGTGGTATAAATGGAATGGCCATCTCAACCTGTTCTTCAAGCTGAGAAAAATCTGGTTTTCTGTTGCACAGCAGAGAAAGCACAATAACAGAAATTGTTAAAGGACCTCTGAAACAAACATTTCTGGGGGAAGGGAAGGAAAGGAAAAAAAAAATGATTAGTGTCAGTGATACGAACATTTCATTGATCTAAGAGTCTCTGATCTCTTATTCATGACCACGTTGTGCAAGGTAGTATTACTTAGTTGGAAGTCATCAAAGCCTCCCATTCTTGGTAGGTGACTGAGTTAACTAGATAGATTGGATGATATATACAGGTTTACCTGCTTTCCTCTGTACCTGCCTAGTTTTAGAGTATATTTCCCTATAAATGACCTAAATGTTTCAATATACAAAATTTTCAAAAATGAAGTTAAATTTGAACAACCACAAAGCACCTCTTTGTATATATTCATCACAGAACAGAAACCCAGCCAAAAAAGGGAGCTTAACAGATCATCTTACCATCCCAACGGAGGATCATAAGGTGGCAAAAAGTATTAATTTCTAACTCTAAACTAAGCTTACTACAAATAAGGATAACTATGATGTTAAAGGTGTTCACTGTGTTAGCCAAAGCCAGTATTTTGCAACATTTTTGTCCCAGCAAGTCTATTCTGAAAAAAAAAAAAAAAAAAAAAAGAAAACCAAGCTGTACATAGTTCCCAGCCTTAGCCTTAAATTGATTTCTGTGTTAGGTTTCTCACAGGAAAGAAACACCCACAAATATTCTCCTCTTTATTTTCAGGAGACATACTTTGTGATCTTCGTATGAGCTCTTCCACACAGCAAGCCAGAAAAAGTCAAATATAGTGACTTACCCCAGCTTTGGGTGATGTGAATGAGAAAGGATCTGACGAGCTTCATCCGTGTAATGCTTACTGAAATACCTGTTAATGTAAAACAGGATCTTGCATTATTATGTAAAGCTCATATATTAACAAAAATAAATAAAATTAACATGTCCAACATCAAAATGTGCAGCTTTAAACTAAAGCTGAATACTACCCTGGACTGAAAAATGGCACACAATGAAACCAAGGCAAAGGTAGCAAGTTAAATTATATTCAGGATGAACTATAAAGATGGGAAAGAAAAATTGTGTTCTGAAAAATATGAAGTTCACCCAAGTCTACAAATTAGCTTAGCAACATCATGCAAACCTGTTTATTTTCCATTACAGAAATTCAGGAATTTAAAAAGCTATTCACAAGTTAGTTTCTAAGTTATTACCTACCAAATCTATCGTATGACAACAAAAAAACTAAGATGTCTCAGGCAATTTTCTATTCCTCAACTTGCTTTTTAGCCTTTACTAAGCCGCACATTCACAGATGTGCAACCTCTAGAAATGTTGACTTATTTAGAAAATACCAGTTTTCATTGTACAGAAGCCACCATTTCTATTTGCTTCTGTTCAGTTTTTATTAGAAACAGCACTATCTAGAGAAAATACACAGATATTGAAAATTTGTTACAAAATAAATTCTTATGTTCACTTACACCAGATTCATTAACCCCAGCAGTCCCATTCCTCTGAAGTCTGTTTTGGGGTCATCACCTTGGAAGCCAATGTCACACCACTGCTTGGTGATTCTGGCCTTCAGATTCTCATGAGGCATCAGCAAATTCCAAAGCTGCACAAATATGCTTCCATGTTATGTACGGCTGCTAAAGTATTCCAATTCATGTAATTCAGAACACTTGCTACTGCACATTAGAAACCATTCACCACGGAACAGAATACAACCTGCATGCTGTTCTTTTCTGTCAGTAGCAATCCGGAGTCATACTACAATAGCTTATTTCAACCATTGTGAAAATGATTACATTTAACATTAAATGTGATCGTTTCCCCTCACAGACAAAGTCGCTGTATCAAGACTAAAGAGACAAAGATTTGTTTCACATCAGAATCAATTTATGCACCATTTTCTGATAGGACAGCTATAAGCTGAAATACAAACTATCAATGAATGCTTACTTAACATGTCAATGTTGGGAGTTGCATAGCTAATTGAGATAATTGTAAATGACATGCTAATGTATTTGCACGGTAGAAGCTATTTAAAAAAGCCTCGAACAGTATTGTATTATTTCCTTCCTATTATTTGTTGTTACCTAAAATACATTACTGATAGCTTTTATCTTCCAATATGAAACTATCGTCTTTGACGCTGATTGGGATGCAGTAATAAGAAAACACTAATGTTTCGTTTTGTTTTTTTTTTTTACTTGGTAATTATTGGTTTATAAATGAGACATGTGCATAACATTAAATATATTTTTAGTTAGGATCCTTCAGTGATCCATTACAAAAGTATTTTGCTATTTATGTAGTGGTGTTACATCTAATTTCACACAAAATAATCCCAGCACAAGTAACTCTAGTTTACTAGCTTGTTTTGCTTTGATGTTGTATTTTAATGTGGCACTTGTGTAACGGCTCAGCAGTTCACAAATAGAAAAGAGCTTTAGTAGGCCAACTGCTAAGAATACTACCAATAAATTAAGTTCACTTGAGCTATTGGACTTGGAGGGGAAAAGCCAAACAAACAGTTTTTGTATTTAATTATTATTTTCACCTCAATTAACTGGTCTTCATGCTCTTCATTATCCGAATCATATGGGATCTTCCTCAGATCTTCCACATTCAAATAAAGTTTTTTATAACCTGTTATCTGCAGTAAGGATATACGCAGATCTGTCTTAAACCTGAAATAACAATAAACAACCACATAGAAGCTTATAAGAGGTATAGCTATTTTTGGCATAAAGTTAGCTATAAATCCTTGCTTGAACTACCAGATAAGACATTTCTTATGTTAATGCAATGTAAACACCAGAATTAGGAAGTGCTTTATTCTTTCAAACCTCAATATATTGGTCAAGTACACTTCTACATGGACCTTATCTCTACTTTAAAAACCTTCTAGCCAATTCCAGTGCTGCAGAGTCAGGCCCTATTCACTTAGATTACGGAAGTAAAAAGTAATTTAGCTGAAATCTGCGATGACACAAGAAAACTCCATATATCATCCTTCACCTGCCCCTAGACTTTTAAATTCTGAAGTGAAGTTTTGTTGGAAACACTTAGAGCTTCAAAGCATTTCATTAAACTTTAAAATTTTGACTATTCACAATTTTTCCTCCCAATTGTTCATAATTACTCATGCAGAAGAATGCAAACATTCATCAGACATCACTATACTCTCAAATATATCTAAGAAATTACATAGTTCATGTAATCAATGCAATAATCACATTACTTAGAAATAAGGAGTAATAGAAGGAGCTTGCAAGATAGAGATGCAGTTATCCTAAATCCATGTCAATTAAAACTTTGTAATTTATTTTCTAGAGGAGAAGAGGACACGACAATACCTTCTTTTCTGATTTCTTTTTAAATACTTCTGCTGAATTGCTTAAATACTGTATCAGATTTAGCAAGTGCTAGAATATGCCAAAAAATCAGAATTATCTGCCATGAAGAATTTCTGTTCGGGATACAAACATACCCTGTATCCTTCTGTTTGATTTTCTTTTCTTTCATTAAATCTCTGACACACTTCTCCACTTCAGCTTCCTCAATATGCACAGCATTTCTCAAAATCTAGGAAGGTAACATAGTAAAAGTCGTATGAGGAGTGCAAAAGTCTATCCTCTACTTTATTCTTATTTCTCAGCTTCTGTATACTTGCCATATACATATTCTTTACTATGAAAGAACAGTCAATTTATTGTAAATTGACAATAAACGGGATCAAATTGCATATATATCATATGCAATAATTACATAAAAGCATAATTAGTAACTTTGTCAGACTATAAACAACATTTACACAGGGTTCCCATAAAGAGTAAATAAAAAGTTGGTGAGTTGCTTAGTCAAGGTTCTCCTTTGCTTTTAAATGCTGAATTGAAACATATTATTCCTAATCCAGTTGAAAAAAATGTACCTTTCCAGGAGTAAAAGTGATACAATTTCAGTAACGAAATAATGCCTTAGAATTAGGAAATGCTGAGCTAACAAAGTTGAGGTTTCAATGCTGGAGTGAAACAAAAGAACATAATGTAAGAGACTGCTATTCTGCAACCTTCTAAGGTAAAGGGCAAATATTAGTAACAATAACTATACACTGCCCACCTAAAATTTAACTTCATCTTCCAAACTTTTTATGGTCATAATGCATTCTTTAACATAATTCATACTAACACCAAAGCAGCTTCATTTCAGTACAGCAAAAGGTTAACTCTTTTAAAAATTAACATTAATACAGTTGATATAATCATTTCATTAAAAGATGCTAAAAGACCCACCCATACTGGGCTCTACTGCAACAAAGATGCTTGTGGCAGTTACTAATTCTCTCTCAACATGATGTTCCAGTGATCAGCTAGAAAAACAGAGAATGCAGTCATCTCAATGTCTAAAGAGACAAGGTTTTGTTCATTTGAGGGTTTAAAGTGTTAGCTTATGTTTAACAGCTATAGAACACTTGGAATGAGTTTGTCATTCAATCTCCACCTACAAACTTGTATTACCTTTTTCCAACAATTCAAGACATTGTATACACAGCATTTAATTGCTTTATCCGTATCATTAATCTCTATCACACTTCTGGTTTCTACAAGAACAGCAGAGATTGTTGTGACAGGGAGAGCTAACCCTCTCTGTGAGCACAAGCTCTGCATAACAACTTGCCCGAGTTGCTGAAGAGCGGGTAAGCTTTTGGAGAGATGGGAACAAACATTTGAAGGGACATAGGGTTTTTTTGAGAAGCCTTGACTAACCCTAGCATACAGAACCTAAAATACTGTTCTCTCTGCCTCTACCTTCTTCCACCCTGAAAGAATAAATGCATATGTTCTTTTCTGGGATCTGTCTCTGAAAAAAGTTTCTATTACAGTTTAAACGCTAGTATCTTTTACCTTATTCTTCGATGATTCCAGTGAATGTTCTGCAATACAGAAAAAAGTAAATGTCACAGTTAAATTGAACTGAATTGTTTAAATAATTGATAATAGATGTTCTTGCGGCATGTTATAAAATTTTGTATCACTTTTATACATATAATTAAATAAAATTACTCAATCTCAAAATCAACAAGTACCATGCCAACCATATTCTGGGCTGAACCACAAGAAGTGTAACCAGCAGGTTGAGGGAGGTGATTCTCCCCCTCTACTCAGTTCTCATGAGACCCCACCTAGAGTTCTGCATTCAGCTCTGGGGCCCCCAATGCAGGAGGGATGTGGACCTCTTGGAGTGAGTCCAGAGGAGGCCACAGAGATGATCAGAGGGCTGGAGCACCTCTGCTATGGAGACAGGCTGAGGGAGCTGGACTCGTTCAGCCTGGAGAAGGCTCCAGGGAGATCTTAGAGCAGCTTCCAGTGCTTAAACAGGCTGACAAGAAATCTGCAGAGACAGTGTGTAGGGACAGGACAAGGGGAAATGGCTTTAAACTGCCTGTGAATAGGTATTAGGAAAAATTTCTTCCCTGTGAGGTCGGTGAGGCGCTGGCACAGGTTGCCCAGAGAAGCTGTGGCTGCCCCACCCCTGGCAGTGTTTAAGGCCAGGTTGGACGGGACTTGGAGCAACCTGGTCTAGTGGAAGGTGTCCCTGCTCATGCATGGCAGGGGGCTGGAACTGGATGAGCTTTAAGGTCCCTTCCAACCCAAACCATTCCGTGATTCTATGAAAATCCTCACTGAACAGCTGGGAAGGAAGTCTGAAAACCCCATCCAGTGGATGCACGCTGCGCTCTGGACAGCTCCTAGTTCCCAGCTACTGCTGTTCAGGCGGTTTCTAAGGCTCCCAGCCCGTCCCGGTTTGGCACCCTTCATTACCTATGCTCAGCGTCCGCCGCGCACCCGCCTTCGAGCCCTCTAAGACCCGCTGCAGTTCGCATTTCTGAGTCAGCAGCCTCAGGAGCCACTTCAGCCAGAACCGAAAGTAGTTGTTGTACAGGAAGCCCCAGAAGTACATCAACATCTTCTGCATGACGGAAGCCCCGCGTTAGCGGGAGGGGCGCGGCGGCGGCAGCCCCTATGCGACCGGCCGCCCAGGCCGGGTCTCCTCACCCCCGCGCTGCCCTCATGGGCCGTTAATGGTCAGTGCCCCGCGGCACTGGGGGCGGGCACCTGCCCCGCGCCCACCGCGGCGGAGGCCTAGCGGCGCCCCGCCGCCCCCCGCATCCTCCCGCCGGAAGCCGCCTTCCCCGACCTGGAAGTGATGGCGGGGCGGGAGAGGACGGGTCGGAAGTGCTGGGAGCGGGGAGTTTTTCCCCGTCCCGGTGGGGGATACCGGAGGTGCTGCGCGGCTGTAACGCCGCGGGGCGCCTGGCGCTCGGTTCCGCTCCCTCAGCCGAGGCTTCCGCCGCTGCGGGGGAGCAGTCCCCGTCCTGAGGCTGTCACGGCGCGGCTGCCTTCCCCGCTGGGAGCCCCCGCGGGGGTAGCTGCATTCCCTCAGCAAGTGCCTGGCACTTCCCTTGGCACCGGGCAAAGGGCGGTGGAGAGCTTGGGCTGGCCTGCGCCGTATTGAGCGGGCGGCGTAGCTAGGGTAAAGCTGCCTCCTGCCTCAGAGGCTTTGTCTCCTAGGCCGGTTCCAGGCAGAGGCAGAGGTAACCCCTCCCAAGTGGTGGTCCAGAGGCCCTCACCCAACACCTTAGTGTGCTTGGCACAGGGCTGCCAGTTGGGACACACCAGGGCTGACCGGGGAATTGGCACAGACAGCCGAGTTCGTACCTGAGCCACCAATCAGCGCCCGATAATGCTAGTTAACCACCTTCAACTCATTCGTGGCGCCTTACAAAATACGTTTGGGGACTGCTTATGCTTGTTTCAGTGTTTAAACTATGCTCGGAGGCTTGTTGCTTGGCTCTGCAATAGCTGAAGGCAACGCTAATCAGAAGGATGTTATGGATTTACCTGGGCCAGATGCTTCCTAAAAAGTGTGCTTTGCCAACTTTTAATGCCATTGCTGAATGGAGCTTCAGCCTAAAGGTTCAATTAGTTCCAGTCAGTATTTCCACTATATTATAATTAATGATTATTTTAGTAAACAGCTCCTTGGGGACAGCAGAAGGAATTCTGTTGCTCTAAGTTGTATGCAAATTGGGATGGTTGAAGGGATGCTGACAGACTTGCTTGACAACATTCTGTTATATTTTTCAATATGAGGAAATCGAACTACCTTTTACACAGAATCAAAAGCCACATAGCAGGTCTGGTGGCCTGTGTCCCACAGGGGATTTCAGAGGTTGGACCAACACCTTTGGCATCCTCCCTCTGGATTTTTACCTTCCTAGTAGAGGTGCCAAGTTTCATGCGGGGGAATCATTGATACGTGAACTTCAGTTATTTGGTGATCTGATTCCTACTTTTTAAAACTGAGGAGAGATAGTGCATATTAAGAGGCAGCAGGTGGTCATTTCTTTTCATTGTAACTTCTTGAGTGAGTAATAAGACTTTTCAAGCATTAGAGTGCAACTGGATGAAAATAAACTAAAAAATATTTCTCTTTATCAAAATGTATTCTTACCTGGTAACAGGATGGCATGATGGTTCCACACGTTGCCTGCGTATGAGTTGGTCCAGGATAGACAAAACCTGGAAAATACCTTGAAAAGATATCAAAGATCCAGTGCCCAAAAACTGATAAAAAACATTGGGAAAAAAAGATCTGCCAGTGCTGCAGGACCAGTGTAAGCTACAGCTCTCACCTTGCTAGTAAGTGAACAATGGAGTAAGTAATCCAGATCAGGAAAAAACCACTGTGTTACACCTTCCATGTAACAGCTTGGCAGCGTGCTGCTGCTGCTGCGGTATTTAAACATAGCTAGGTGAAAATTCATCATCACGAGAATGGCTTCAGCAGCAGTGGGGCACCATAGTTTGATGTTGATAAGGCAGAGAAACAGTAACAGCATGAGGAAATGGAAGGGTGGTCAGGTCCTTGCTATTGGCGTTCACACCTGTGCAATGAGGTTTGCTTTGAGATAGTTCATTAGGAGCATGAGCTAACAGAGTAACTTGGGAAGCCCAGCAGGTGCATCCTTGAAGTGTGGGTCTGTGCAAACAGCAGGGAAATTTCTAGCTGATGAGGCTTCTGTTGATGTATACCAAAATAAAACCTTCCCACTGCTTCAGGAGTTTCACTTTACATTGCATCTTTTAATGGATTAAATAGCTTCCTATCACTATTAGTATTTTTTTCCTGTTATTTATACTTAAATAGAAATTCCCTTTTTGTATGGATCAAGAACCAAAGCAATAACTTCTACTACTGAATGTTTTGGAATTTGTTCCACTTCCTTTTTTGGTTTATTACATTTTAAACTTTACCATAACAATAAATACACACAGTAGATTATCATTGTTTTCTCAGTCAGTTCTCTTTGCTTCCAGTCTCCAGGACTGATGTGTAGAGTATCCAGTGTTGACAAGCCATCGCACCATACTCTCTGTGTTATAATTAGACTTTTTAAGCTTGGACATTTTTAAAGTCTTGTGCTTTAGCACTTCTGAAATGTGAGAGTTTAAAAGAGGCAAGTTTTCATCTAGCTCACACTTTTTTTACTTACACGGTGTTTTCTTAAATATGTATTTTAAAGTAAAATCTGTAACCAGTTACATATATTTATTTAAAAATATTGAAGCATTTGGTTTTGACGGGCTTTTCACAGCTTTTTATTACTTGCCAAACAGTGAGCATGTTTGATCTTGCACAAATGTTAGTTCTTGACTTGTGCAAGATGCTTCTGTGTCATCGTGTTCAGTCAATTCATGTATTAGGACAGTCAAAAATATAAAGTGGTAGCTTAAGAAAAAAATGTAGCTTCCTCTTTTTGTGTTCAGTAGTTGCCTTCCAACATTACCTTCACCTACACTTTGGTTGAAGGAAAGATAATGACCTACTCTTTGCCTTCTAAAATCACATTTCTAAGGTGACAGCAGGTCAAATAAAAAGGGACTTTAACCAGCAATATCAGTCAGATCTCTGCGCAGTCAGAAAACTTTCCATGGCAGCAACTATTACCTATTGTTACTGGCAGTTATTCTTTGTTCATGTACCCTTGTAGATGAAGGACAGGTGCAACCCACGTACAAAATAATCCATTACTTACTTCACCCATGAGCCTGTATTTTGTCCAGTATTTATTTTCATCTTTCATCTGCTTAGCCACAGATACGTGAAAACAAGTTTTGACAATATAAGATAATCATCTTTTAGCAAGAAAAGAGATTCAGTTACAAAGCATGAGGACAAGCCTAGAAACTTACTTGCAGGTAAGGCATCTGGATGGAACTAAGTTGAATGACTTAGGTTACTCGGCAGCGTGTTTTATAGCGTTCTTAAAGATGATCAGTTTGCTAAAAATGCAGAAAGTCTGCTACTCTGAGGTAAAACTGGTCTGAAATATTTATTACCCCCTGAAAAAACCCTGTGCATCTTATTCCAGTTCTGCATAGTTCTTGAGCATGTGAAATAACATACGAAGAGAGCACTGGGAGGAGGGTATTAGGGAATTAAGAGGGCCTCTGTAGTAGGCCTAAATACAGTGGAAGTTAATGGCATTTTCAGTGATGAGGTATTTTGTTTTTTTTGAGGAACAGTTAATGCACTACCTCATCATAAGTTAAGGTGCTGGTCTAAATAGTGAGCAGTAAGTAAATGATCACCACAACCCATCCCGGCTGAGTAACTGCATCTGGTTTAGTGTTGGCCTTAATAAATACCATCTAATGCATTCAGCGGCAGTCTGCATAGACTTTCCCTTTATGGTGTGTAGCTTTGTTATTAGTTTCTGGAAATATGTGATGGTTTGTGGCTTTTTTTCTTACTGGCTCTGAAAATAAGCTAAAATTAAGCATGTGTTACAGTTCTGTTATTCTTATCTTCAGTAGCACTCCTGCTTGACCACATCATTTACATGTTTGCTTTGGCTTTGTAATGGATAAAACACTGGCCAGTCAATTAAAAGGCATTTTATTCCTTACATATAACATATTTAATGCTTATTTATTCCTCCTAGTTCTAGATCTCTATTTTATTGCAACTGTGCCAAAAACTACATTGATCTTCCATCAGAAGTAGTACACTGAGCTTTTAGTTTCTTAATTTGGAAAGGGAAATGGTGCTAAGGAGGCAATAGCATGAGAAGATCGAGTCATAATCACATTGGTAATACAAACAATTGCAAATACATATTCAAAGTGTAGGTTAAAAATTTGTCAGTAAACATATCAAAGATGCAATCAGAAAAGAGGAATAGGGAAGTTTAGAGTGAATGGGTACTGAGCAGGAATAGTGCGGGCAAACTCAGGCTTTCACAGTGATTCATGAATAACAACATGTATAATTCCAAGTCATTAGTAAACAGAGAAGTAAGCCCATCCAAATCATCATTCAAACACTGGAAGGTTTCAATTACCTTGCAGGAGCAGCAATGTACAATTTGGGGCGTCTGAAGTCCTTTCAAAGCATGTAGTCAAGGTGTCTTGAGGAGCAGCACATCAAGGCAGTGTTCACACTAGGGCTCCAGCATGCTTGTGTCTGCACACCAGTGCTAGGTTTTGTTTGCTTTACATGACACTACTCCCAATGACTTGGGGCTTTGGTATAAGTTAAGATGCAGTTGTAAACAAATAGAGAAAAGGAGGGAAGAGATATTGCATTAATAACACAGGCATATTTTTATAAACCAAACTATGTAAAATAGTATGTCCTTTGGGTAAATCATAGAATCATAGAATATTTAGGGTTGGAAAGGACCTTAAGATCATCTAGTTCCAACCCCCCTGCCATGAGCAGGGACACCTCACACTAAACCATCTCACCCAAGGCCTCGTCCAACCTGGTCTTGAACACTGCCAGGGATGGAGCATTCACAACCTCCCTGGGCAACCTATTCCAGTGCCTCACCACCCTAACAGGAAAGAACTTCCTCCTTATATCCAATCTAAACTTCCCCTGTTTAAATTTTAACCCATTACCCCTTGTCCTGTCACTACAGTTCCTAATGAAGAGTCCCTCCCCAGCACCCCTATAGGCCCCCTTCAGATACTAGAAGCTGCTATGAGGTCTCCACACAGCCTTCTCTTCTCCAGACTGAACAGCCCCAACTTTCTC